ATTGGCCTGGATGGCGAGTATCGATCCATTTTTGGCGCGATAAAACTGCCCAGGCTCGTGCGTCTTAAATTCCTACTCTCCCATTGTCGGGGATCCAGCAGGTTTTCTATCAATGATTGCCCCAAAGGGAACCCCCACCACCACCGAATTGGCCCGAATCAAGTTTTCCGCGGTCGCGAACCAAGCGTGGATCCCTATCCTTCTACTTTCTCTCATCTCCCACTTATTCTTGACATTAAAACAACAAGGCCATGGCTGACTGGTATCCGTAGAAGGCGTGTTGTGCAGCCGTCATTCATATTTTTTAAATACCATTCTTCTCGATCTGCTTCATAGATCACCCCGCATCACGCCGTTTCAGCCACGGCGTTTTGCCTGTTAATTTTTGGTTTTTTTTTCTGACATCTTCCTTCCTTCCTCGATTTATTCGAGATCATCCGAACGCTTACGTCGACTTTCCCAGCATTGAATCTGTTTTATCTTGAAATTCCTTTTGTCAGTGGTGAAATGCGCGGTCTTTTGCGTCACGACTATTATCTTCTTTTTTTTCCCTAGGATTCTTCAGTCCTCCATCTGCTCTTTACGCTCCGAGCGCTCTGCGCACCTGAGACAGAGATTCATGTGGCCGGATGCTGCTTTTCTATTTTTCTTTATTCTTCTTGGTGGAGAAGCCTTAATCGGATAGAGAACCAGGTTATTCGTAAGAACTATTTTATTTTGAAAGCAGGGAATGATCTATCTGTCTCCCTTTTTCATGAAATTCCATCTGCACCTAAATATTCTGACATATGCAGGTAGTTCTTGTATAGCTTTATCCCTGCCTCGTCGCGCGTCAATAGTGAATCAATATTCACTCTCTGCTTGCTTGCTACCTTTAATTCTCTATTCTCCCGGCTTCTGCCCTCCAGTCCAAGGCTCTATTGTTTCCAGCTTTGCTTTTTGGCCCAATTGAAGACCTGGGGCTGTGCTAGAGGTCTTTCGGAATCGCCTGCTTTCAAAGACCCGCAACCCGCTAATCGATATCAAAAACAGTGGTAATGGGAAACGTGCAATCTGTGCAGCCACTTCACTCCCAAGGGAGAGCTCGGCGTTCCAATCGCCTCTCAAAAGCCCCAACAAGCTACCCATCCAATAAGCTGAGATCCACTTTGGGTCAGGAACCATATGTCGAGTCTCCTCTGTGGGAATATAGTCCGTATAGCCCATATAGTTCACACAACCCATGGCTGGATTCCCATCCTGTACATTCCCCAGCGCTAGGTTCCCCAACCAAGGAAATCATCTCTGAGGGGCCTTCTCCGCCGGTGCCCCTCCGCGCTAGCCACGGTCCTGAGAATCAAAGTACTGGGGATGATGGTAGGCCTCGATCTAATTTTGGGGAAATGATGGGTGAATTCAAACGTCGAATGTCGCGATCAGGATCTCGGACAAGAGTTGCTCGGTTCTCTCATACTCCAGAATTGGATAAATTGGATGCACGACTTGCCCAACCTATCCCAGTTGGAGTGAGCAGCGTCCAAACGGAAGAGCCGGAGAGAACATTTGGTCTGGGAGTGTCTACCCGAGATGGATTTCCTCCTCTCGAGACTCATAGATTTCCGTCAATCCGCAGACTTTCATTGTACAATGGAAAATCCGCGAGATCTCCAAAAACATTGCTACAGACCATCTTTTCTCCGCGCAATACAGAAAACGATAGTCCACCCTTTTCGTACTGGGGACGGGATGGCCGTGAACCAACGCGACGGACCTCGGCAGATACATTCTTCTTATATGAAATGACTCGATCTTCCCCCTTACGATCTTCGACTCCCAGTGATCTTGAATATTCCCATTTGGGAAGGTTTAAGCTTGGCTCTCTTCGCGTTGTTAATGGCAGTGCTTCTCCAGCCCCAAGTGACCGTGTCCCGATGAGCGTGAGACGTCAATCATTTTCCGACATGAAAAGCGTTCATCTGGACCACCGCAACTCTACAGACTTGCTACGGAGCCGAAGCCGAGATTGGGCCGATTCTTGTTCTTCTCCCAATTTACCACAAGGGTCATATACTCCAAATTCACACCTCGAGCCATCGCCTAATAGATTAAAAACCCCGCGAATTGACCGCAGCAAAAGTCCTTTGAGGTCGGAATACGGCGGCCCTTTGGAATCGCCGTCGAACGGAAAACCTGACGCTTGCCTCCCAGTTTTTAGACTCTCTTGGCCTAACAATCCGGAAGCATTGCTTGGAATTTCTTCGATTCCTGGGAGCATAAAAGATCAACCCCTAGACCCTGCCACATTGACGAGTCTATCCCATGAGCCTAATCAGGCTTTACTAGCAAATTCCAAGCCGAATGAATTTGATGATAGCCTTTTCAACGATGAAAGCAAGGAATTGGTGCAAACGAGAAAGAACGAGCCTATTGAGCGTGAATGGAACGACGAGCCGAACCGAGGCCGTTCCATGGAAAATTCAACACGGAATAGCACTGGAAGAGTGAAAGGGCGAAACCCATATGCGTTGACCAAAGCAGATAGCGGTTACAGTTCTGCTTCTTCAAATAAATCCTTGCGTCGTCACAAATCAGCGTTGACTGCAAGGGCCGACAGCAAGGATGAGCCAGCTGGGCAGCCGAATCTAATCTCCGCTGGAACAACAAATGCCATTGAAGAATGCAATGAAACATGCACTTCAAGGCCTGCTTCTCGAAGGAGATCCCTATCGGGCACACCTCCGCCGGTTCCGCGGAAGGATACTCCTCCCGTTTTAAAACCCCCGAACTTACACCATTCTCGCCCAAGAGATGAGAAAATGAATCAAGTTTTGTCTCCAACTGCACCGACAAACGCCAGCTTTTCACAGCGTATGGCTCGCATCAGATCGCTTTCTAATGTTGCTCCCAAGCAAGCCTCGCCAGCTACACCTATCCTTTCTCCAAAGCCGCTTGATAAAGGATTCCGCTCGTTCCTTAACGAGAACACTCCGGAGAGGCAGCAAAGTTCCTGGCTATGGAACCCCAGTCGTTCACAACACAACCCTCACAAGAACTTCGACGCCCACTATATCTCTCCCGTAGATAACCATATGAACGAAAATTTGATGCCGATTAATCGATCCAAATTGGCTCAGACCAAAAAGTCAACAGACCGAGCTCGCATTACCAATCCGCACCTTCTGCAGGCACGCAGGCTCCACCGTCCACAATCAATGGTAAATTTAAATGACTACACTTCGGACTCGGAACACGATCACCAATATCGCCCTCAACTGCACCAACCAGAAAAGCAACAGCAAAGCCATGGCTGGGTGCGCAGCTCCTTCTTCCAGCATCGGAGCCGCGGCAAGAAGCGAAATACAGCCCCTGGCGACGGCATGAACTTCTTCGGCCATAGGCGAACGGGATCCAAGCCGGCCAATAACCAAAAACACGCCCCCAAGAGAAATGCAAATTTATCCACGGCAACGGAATCCGTCCGTCACCACCGAAACCCGTCAACTAGAAATCTGGATCGTCGTTTGCCTCCAACTCCGCCTGGGAAGCATGAATTGGTGACGCGGGACAACACCACAACCCCCTGGGTTGACTCCAGAAGCAATCACATTACAACCAGCGACAACAGGAACGCCAATTACAATAACTGTGATGATAATATCGCGGAACATACCCATTCCGCTTCTATATTTACAGGACCGTTCCCCCTTCAAAATCTAAGAATTGATGTGAAGCCGAAGCGGAGTTTCTTGCATGAGGTGGAAGGGAAGAGGGATCCTTTCTTTTGTGTTGGATTTCCGCAGTCGCAGTCGCAGCTGCATAACTCAGGGACTCAGTGAACAAATTGAGTGAGGTTGAGGCCTGGTGCTACTTGCTTGTTTATTCGTTTTGCTGAATAGAGTGTAATGAGGATTTTATTCATCGCCTATTTATTATCTCTTCATCTTTTGCAATCTCATTACACACTACCCGTATCACTCACTCCAGTTACCCTCTCGCCCCCTTGGCTTTTCCTTTCGAGAAACATCTTTACATTTTATGCTTTTCTCATTCTGCTGCGACGAATCACAGATGATGACACCAGAAAACAATGGGAACGGCCTAAGATTATTCATTTGGTTGTAATTTTGTTTTTGAATGTTGCAAGTCTATCTAACTTGCTCTGCCTTCATAACGAGATGTCTAATCCTCCTCTTTGCTTTATCGGGGGCAAAAGGCAAATCCGATATATTCTTGCTTATAGACAGAGCTCACCTGCCGCTCACATTCTTGTGTAATTTCATTTACGACTTCATTTAAGTTTTATTGTTTTTTAAAAATAATAATAGTGAGGACTTGCCTTGCTGCTCCTGCCCACTCCCTACGGCCTAGGCCCAGACAATTTCATTTCCTAGTTATCTGATACATACGAATTGCCGTCTTATACCCATCAGCAACTATTATTACAATTTTTATTTTTATTTTTTCCCCCTTTTTCATTCCATACCCCTTCGATTGCTGATAATAAGATAAAATAATATAGCTGTTTTCCATTATCTCAATGTTAAGGTGATTCCATGCAAATCAATGAATATTATTACAGTTCAATTTCATGATTTCAAGATGTTGCTAGTGTACATACTTTTCTCCACACCCAGGCGATGTTATCTCATCCAGAAGTCGTACCCTCCATTTTCTCCATTCCCGTTAATGCTGCAATCCACAAAGAAACGCTAGCAAATTGAAGAGAAGAAGCAAAAAGGAAAAGGAAAAGGAAAAGCAAACCAGAAATGAAATCAAACCTAGTAGAGTTCCAAATCAAAAGCTGTCATTCATAATACCAAATTGCAACGTATCGAAAAACAAATCATCCACTCATCAGTCAGGCAAACGACATATGAACTATACACCCATCTTATCTTATCATACCCTAGGCTGGCACCCCTGCCTTCACTCAATATTGATCCTCTTCGAGGTCGGCGCCGCCGCTTTCGGCACAGCAATCGACAAGATCCCATTCTTCAATGAAGCCTTCACTTTGTCCTGATCGACTCTGGTGGGGAAGTTGAATGAGCGACTGAACTCGCCCACAGAGCGTTCGCTGACCCAATACTTCATCCCGCCGCGCAGAGGGGAACCGACCTCCTGCGACTTGCCGCCCGTCTTCGTCACGGCGGTCGTCGATGACGCATCCTCGTCCTCCACGGTTGCCTGGCGGGTTTTCTTGCCCCCATGGCCAGCATCGGAAGGCTCTTCGTCACCGCCGGAGGATGCGGAATATTCGCGTTCCGACCTGCCCTTGACGACGAGAGTTTGTGCGTCAGTGAACTCGATATCGATGTCCTTTTGGGCAATTCCTGGTAGCTCGCCGTCAAGGTGGTAGGCGTCCTTTGTCTCGCGGACGTCGAAGCGAGGGGCGAAGGAGCGCAGGGTACTGGAGGAGGCGCTTTCAGTGCCAGAGCGGTGGCTCTCGTAGTCGTCTAGGAGACGGAAAAGAGGAGTAAAGTCGCCAGAGGGATGGGCTAAACGTGGAAAGAAAGACATTTTGCGTGTTTGGTTGAAGCGATTGAGGCTGTTGAGGTTGTTGATAGTGGTGGTCTTAGTGGGGTGGACGGATGGAGTTGTTCGGACTGTGGAGAGCTTGGAAATGCGGTAAGCTGAAGTGGGAAGTTTGTCCTTCAGTTTAACAGCCGGGCGAGTGAACATAAGAGGGTATCCCAGCACTGCTTCTTGGAGTAATTGATCATCAACGATGTTTGGTTTTGGATTTCGTCTTGTTTCTGAGGAAAAAGAAAACAGCACATCTCTGCCGGATGTCCAGGGAGCTTATATAGATGGCCGGCAGCGCTCATTGCCCTGGTACCGGCCCCTTACGTCACAGACCGTGCGATGGTTCGAGATGGTGCGAGTCGGTGCTGGAAGCTTCGGTAGATGGTCACGTGACATGACATTCTCAGCCGGAGCTTCAGTGTTCATCCAGAACTTGTGGAAAGAGTGCTGGGGCGAACTCTATTGCGATGGTTGGTGACACAACCTTGGAAGCCGTCACGGCAGAACATTCCGGATCCGAGGAGACGCATACATCTCGATCTGGCGCTGACCCCGCCGCAATAGGAACTCGATGGCTGGGAAGTCCTTTTTGCTGATGCTCATGTTCTTGCGGAATTCCTGTCTATACAACCACCATGCAAAAAGTAGCTGCAGTTAGCTTGGATGCACGTCATTGTTTGAGATAATTCATACTGGTACAGGTGTAATGAAGATATATGGCTGACTCTACATACCTGGCGAGCTGCTTAAAGTTTGCCTGAGACTCCTGTATATTGATCAATTGGCTTTTAGCATCTCTATTGTACAACAGTGAATATATGCTGTGTTAAATAGCACAACAATATTATGCATACCTTGGGCTTCTTCCTGATTTCCCGGAGTGCGAGTCTGTACAGAGAGCACACCTCCCGCTGCAGCCCGGAGAGCTTCTTCATTTCAGGATCCCGAGGATGCTGGAGAAACTATTTGGCTTGCAATTGGTGTACAATGCTGAGCAATGCTGAGACTTAAGAGCGCGGGAGGTTTAGTTAGTTATTTAACGCATGCCATGCAGGCTCATCCATAGAGAATAATGATGTTCAACTGTTGTTCTCAGCTGCGGGAGGAAAAAGGAACCCCGTTGACTATTTATTTAGCGCGCGGTAAAATCAAAGCGCTAATTTCGGAGCTCGAGATGGACGGGGAGTGAGCAGATATTTTTGCCCAACCGGAGAGGAATTGCAATGGATATAAGTCCGGGATTAAATAATTTTGTATCTTATCTATATATCTATCTATTTATCTATATAAATAAATATACTGGTATAAATATCGCTCTAGATATAACTCCCCTGTTTATCCATGCAAGAACATTCTCTCAATTCCGCCGCGATTGACCTAGAAGCTAAACAGTGAGAAAGATAAAGTCAAAAGTAAACCTGAACAGAAAAGAAACAACCATGCCGCCCTTCTCGGTAAGCCAGGCCTTCCCCATATTGTTCCAATACTAACGCCGCAACGCCCAGCGCCTCATCCGTTTCCTCTCTCAAGACGGCCGGATCTACTATGGCGACCCTCTCCTTCCAGCCAATACCACCGACATCTCCCAAGCGACCACCGCCCGCCTCATCTCCGGTGACATCTTCCGCTCCCCAGTCCTAACAGGCACCACAAAGCCTATTTCCCGCCTGCTCTCCCCGCTGGCCCAGAACGATATCTCCTCCATCCGCTGTCTCGGCCTCAACTATGCCCAACACGCCGCCGAAGCGAGCATGCCCATCCCCCAATACCCCGTCCTCTTCTATAAACCGCCAGCTGCCCTTGCGGGCCCCGCGGATGATATCCCCATCCCCCGCATCGCGCAGGAGTGCCCTGGTGTAGACTACGAGTGCGAGCTGGTGATTGTTATGGGGAAGAAGTGTCGTGACGTGTCAGAGAAGGAGGCGCTGGAGTATGTGATGGGCTACGCCGTGGGGAATGATGTGTCACATCGAGGGTGGCAGCTAAAGCGCGGGGGCGGGCAGTGGGGGGTTGGGAAGGGATTTGATGGGTGGGCGCCGTTTGGGCCGGGAATTGTGACGACGGAGGTGTTGGGTGATGCGAGGGATTTGGGGATTGGGACAAAGCTAAATGGCGTGGTTGTGCAGAAGAGTTCAACGAGAGATCTGATTTTTGGCGTCAAGAGCGCCGTTTCGTGGTTATCTAAGGGGTGTACGTTGGGGCCGGGCGATTTGATTTTTACCGGGACGTGAGTCTTTATTTTGGCTCCTCGTTTCAGCTTCGCCTTTTCCCCGTGTCTATGGTCCTTATGGAATGTTGTTGGTTGTGATTTGCTAACCGCCTTTTGTGCTGATATTTCTAGGCCTCGGGGGGTAGGCATGGGTAGGAACCCGCCGCTATGGCTGAAGCATGGTGATATGGTTGAGGTATCGCTTGAAGGCGTGGGGACTTGCCAGAACAGAGTTGTTTTCGAGGGTCATACCGCTAGGCTGTAATGAGTGGATGAATCCATGCACGGTAATGGGGTGTTAATTTCAAAGGAAGAAGGAAGGAAGCGGGTTCCATGAGGAGGCCAGTTACAGTGATTTGCAGTCAGTAAGTATCACAGCCGTAGAGGGATTAAGACATCTAGCTCCAGCAAAGAGCATCAGTAGATCTAGAGACAGCTCATATACCCACATAGAGCGAGACTAAATCAAGTTGCTTCAAAACGGAAAAGCTCGAATCAAGTACAAATCAACATCTTAAGGAAATAAGATCAGAAACCCCGTCTCAACCTGTCTCAACCCCGTCCCATCCATCATTTCATCTTCCCCAACAAGTTACTCAGCTCAATTAGTTGCCCTTCCATACCCTATAATACCTTCCGCAAATGCCCAGCTCTGGTTCTCCAACCGCTCATTCTCCTTCATCTCCACTCCATCCTTCTTCACTACCGCAATCGAGTACCGATCAGTACTTCTCGCATCACGATAGAACAACACCTTCATACATTCCTGCAGCGCCCTAACCGCCTGCTCCTCTTTGACATTCTCCAGTGGGACCTCCTCCGGAAACAGCCTCCGCAATACTGGGATGGCCAGATGCGCTCCAAATCCCGTAGCCAGGTGCGGCGCAGAGTATGTGTTGCCCAGCAGATCGACGGAGCTGAGGAAGGGCTTCTCCTCGCCGTCAAAGCCTGCAACGAGGATGACATTCCACAAAGGGTTGAATTCCGACCGTCGCCTGTACATCATTTTCGATAGGTAGGTGTGCAGGTTCTGCGCGTTGAGGGAATGGCCGTAGGTTGAGTAGTTTTCTTCGATACTCAGGAAGTTTAGGACGCGGTCGATGTATTGCATATCGGACACGTCGCCGCCAAAACCAATGACGGTGGAGTTGTCGAAGGAGCGTAGGCGTTTTATGTCCGTGAACCGGGCGAGGGAACCGTAGGATGCTATATAATGCTTAGTTTAGGCATACCTCAAGGCGCCATTGGGGAATAAAGAATGAGAGCATGAGGTTGTGGTACCTAAATTATCTGTTGCAATTGCTACGCCGCCGTTGAACTTGACGGCGATTACTGATGTTCCTGTTACTGTCGGTGACTGTGTATGTGTCTGAGGAGCGGAGGTTTGGAGATATGAATGGTCGTAAGAGCCGTAGACGTCGTTGCTGGGCTTCGGATATGTGAGAAAAGTAATTAGTTTCTATGTAAATGATAGTCAACCTAGACAGGAAGCTGCTCACTCGTCCCCATGCTTGAGGGAAGTGGTTCATGATGGGTCGATGTGGAACTGCTACTGCAAGTAAGATCTCTGATTTTGAAATTGTAGAGATATATAAGCGTAGTTGACGAGAGTTGAAGATACTGTGCTGAGAGGTAGCTCGAATTAGTCAACAAGTTGGTTGCGTCAAAGAAGCTCGGTCAGCAAGCGCCGCGCTTATTTATGAAACTTGCCGCGCCCAACCAAGCAAAACTGACAATTAAACAGATAAGAGGATATTGTGGGGGAATCGAAAGATAGTCCACGTAAAAATATTTAAAAAACAATAAGAAGCACTGTATATGATCTGACCTGATGTTTCTTTATGTAATCCGTTGTTCCGAGCAAAAAGTCCTTATAATACTTCCACCCAGTAACTCCATGTGCAGCCATAACGTAGATAATGTTTATATATAAAACCACCATAAAGGGCCACCCACAAATAAAAATCCCCCCTATTGAAACAATGAAGGAGAGCAATGTATGTATATGACCAAAACAATCACTCCATCATCTAGACCGCGATCGTTTCCTCCTTGGCCGCCGCTCTAAATCTGTCGTCCTCTTTCCGCGATCCCTGTCGGTATTCATCGGTGAGCTCGTCCTCTCCCTACTGAGCCCCGCCATTACCCTTTCGGCAGCACTGGGCTTCGCCTTTACACTCGAATCCCCCGACAAACTGACCCCGCCCCCACCGCTACCAGGCACAAATTCTATAGCTTCCCTTTGCCCCAAGGCTTTCTTCTCCTCGACCTTCCGTCGTATCTCCTGCTGGCTTTTGAGCAACTCCTCCTTATACCCCCACGGCGGAAGGATCCCGACGGGGTCCCACAGCTCCTTCGGCAGGGAGGTGGCATATTGCGCTTGTGCATCGATACCGGTGTGTTCCATTAATTTGGTGAGTAAGCTAGGATTTCTCAAGGAGGAAGAGTTGGCAAGCTTCTCGTTAAAGTGGACGCCCTGTCTCTTTATAGAGAGGAAATGGGCAAATTTCTGGCTTGCAGTTGGATTTGGGGAGCCTGGCGGTGAAGGGGGAATGTCGAGATTGGGAACCGGGGGGAGGGTCATGTCGCGGAGTAGGGCGCGGTTGATGGAGAATGGGGAGGATTTACGAGATAGCAGTTGGGGCCCGATGTTATTATCATTTGTGGGAGAGGGGAGCTGAGAGGGTTGAAAGGGCCCAATTCGAGGTATGTCGTCTTCTTCGATGCTAGCAGCGGTAGCTGTTGGAATAGGTTCTTGAAAAACAAATGGTCCGTTTTCTGTTAGACGAATAATATTAGATACGTCACAGTACAACTGGGCAAAACATAGGTAAAATGGAGCAAACCTGTAATCTGAGCCGCTGTATCTGCTGAAAAATTCGCTGGTTGCTATACACACTGGTTAGGATGTCAGTTGGCCGGTACCAGATATTCAGGGCGGCGCACAGTGATCTTTTGTACTGTTAATGAAGGGCTGCTTTCGGCCTCATCTTCGCTGCTGCTTGCATATGCCGTTAGGCCAAGCATGGTATTTCTGTCCAACAATCCGAGCGCGTAGATGAATTCCCTCTGAAGTTGGTGCTGCTTCTGATTCCTGTCAGAAACTATCCAGAAGCTTAAATAAGCGTGCGGCAGCATGGCCATGCATACTGTACAAAGGTCGGTTTCAAAAGTTTTGTTCAAGCATTAAAAGCACCACAACTGCCACTAGGGGTTTATACTAGATTTAGTAGGAACCCCGCCGAAATGTTTTTCCGGCCGACGTGTTATCCTGAACTCCAAATTACGTCCTACGGAAAACAGAACTTTGCCTCCATATCCAACTTGTCACTCCAGGCTAAACGCGTTCGTCTTGATCCAGAACACTATAAGCTTTTGTTTCATGGAACTATGGATGTTCAAGATGTTGAACATCTTATCGCCCTCCTTACTGAAGTCAACCCCCAAAATGAACTTCCACGCCGAGCGAAAATTCCCCTTGAAGATCCCTTTCATGACCGGCTTCGTAATGTCCTAGATGCCATTGCCAGTGTCCTCATCTCACAGCCAAAAGGGGAAGTAATAGCAGTTGGGATGCAGAGTCAACAAAATGGCTCAGAAAAGGGAATAATTCTGACTCTTGCTTCCAATACAGGTACTTCCAACAAGCCTGTTCAACATGCTTGTGAGAACATAATTGACTCTTTCTTCCAAACAGGCATCAACAACAAGACTCTTGAACACGCCCGTGAGCTTATTTCTGACCTGAAGGCACTTGGGGATGACTTCGCCGAGCATCGAAAAATTGTGGAACAGGAGACTCAAATCAGTCAGATCAAATCTCAGCAATCAGAACTCAGCAGAGCAGAATCCCCTGAGATTGATGAGTCAAAGTTCTCCTCCCATCTCAGACAGAAAGTACATGACTTTCGTGCAAAAGTATTCTTATTTGCTCTTCCAAAAATCTATCAGAGACTTCATAAGCGATACCAACCCACCAGATCCTCTCGAGGGTTTGCATTTGTCAACCTCACTAATCGGCTGGATGTTCATAGCAATGACAGTGCCAAGATCTTGTGGGATGCCTCTCGGGTTATAAACTGGATGTTTTATAGTTTGCCAAACAATTCTGAGTCATTTCCTGATCATAAGACTCACCTTTTGATCAAAGGCCTCCGTGGCCTCGCAGAGCTGGTTCGACAGTTATTTCAAATGGAGACATGGTTGTCTGACTTTTCTAAGATACCGTCCGAAATACGTCGTAAGTTTCCAACTATTCTATCCCTTTTTTTATTCTTACTAATCCCTTTTCTCAGGCTTTCCACTCGAGGGATTCTTGAAGAAAATGTCATCAATTTCAAACAACACAGATACCCTTTTAAAGTATGCCTATTCACCACGTCTCTATCAAAAATATATAATCAATACAAACATTGAAGTTGCGTGTCTGGAAAATAATCAGAGGAAAATTCAACTTCCTTCCCATGAGCAATGGCCATTCATTGCTGAAAAGATTCTTGTAGCGCAGGGTGCTACATCACTTCTCAGTGATATTTCAAAGGACGTTGAAAAGATCCCAGGATTTCAGCTTCAAACATCTTTCCCCGGAAACACTGTCCAAGGCAAGATTCATTGTGAATGCAAGCTTGCACTCCATCTAGTTGAAACTAGTTGTTCAGGGCTCTCAGCATTGCCATATATTGGAGTGTCAAAACTTTCTTGCCTTGCCTGCTGGGAGTTTTTGAGTTCCCTACGCAAGATAGATCACATATTCTATGTGAAGGGGTCTCATTCTAAGGCATATTTTCCATGGAAGTTTCCTGAGGTTGAGATGGGTAACGCGCGATTACGACAGGAAGAGAGAGACCAAATATTAAATTACCTCTATTCAAGTCTGGCTGATACATACAAAAGGCGTTTGGAAGCTGAGGAGTGGTTGCGAAAAATGTCGGATAGCACAGTTGGCTCCGATGACGGTATCCCGTACAAAGATCTGTCCTTTGACGAATTCGATATGCCGAGAATTTCGCGCCGCCGCTAGAAATGTTTGATGCAACCACACGACCTGCTGTTTTGTCCGAATTTCAATGAGGATACCGGTTTCCTGCGCGTTCACTAAATTATATTTGACTGCTTCAGGTTGTTGTAATCACCATCTAGCAAGGAGATGGTGAGTCTATCCACACCATCCATCCCTTGAATCACTGTTAACACATTAACACTTCGTGCACTTCGACACTATTCTCGTTTTCAGCGACACTGAGAGAGTCGGTGAGGGAATTCCCGGATTGTTTCATAGGCGTCCTGTTGTTGGTTTGGAGGGGGGGGGGAAGGGTAATGGTATTTATGTGTTACGCTACTCCCGGGATGATCGGAGCAACATTTGCTGCTACGAAGGCATTTGCAGATGGCCAAAGGAAATTTCAGAGGGTAGACTCCAAGACCATTGCAAGAAGAGCAGGAGGAAAAGGTTTACAGGTAGTATCAATTACTCGGTTCAATACCATCCCAATCAGGGCTGGCACTAGCCACTACGATTGGGGCCGGTCAAACATCTTCCACATGTCGAATACTTTCCTCTCACTTCGCTGTAGCAATTTGACAAATTGACACTTTCTCTGGCGTGTGTTTATTTGATTTTCGATTTTCGATTTTTGATTTTAGCTGAATAATTTGTCAATGTTAAAATGTCCATGTCTCCAGATCCCTCGCAGATGCCGAGGTGGAGATCAGTAAACAGGGTTCAGCCTCTAAAGCAACTACTCAGCTTCTAACTCCTCTTCGTAGTACTTTTCAGATACACATTCGAAATCCTGCGCAAGCCGATGGTTGCTCTTATGCCCACACACAATCCGAGTGTGTTCTTAAAGCTCACGTTTAAAACCAGCATTTTCCAAATCGACGATACCGCATAGTCGTCCGCCCTCAACAAGAAGGTTTGGCAAATGAGGTCTGAGTGAGTGTTTATCATATAGATGTGAGACAGGAGTTTCTGTTCTGAAACTCTCAAGATCCGCGGTCAAATCGTCTAGGAAGTCGGTTTTTGAATGATAGCGGCCATGTGGCCCGCGGTCATCAGTGCGGTGCGATATTGCGAAATGTAGGAACCAACATCTATTGCGAGTTGACGGCTTTCTTCATAAGTCAACTTTATGGGAGGTACTCAGGGAGGAATAAATATTGCGAGTGCTTGGCTTTGCATAAAGACCCTACCCAGCGCATCCTCAGTTGCAGTGCGGAGTAGTTCTGTTTGCGTTGCGGCATATCTGGATATAACAAAGATTCAAAGAAGCTTAGCATCATGCTTGAGCTACTAGTCGATGTGTCAATCATGCATTTACATACATATAATATCTTGAGGAATAAGGTAGCCAGGCTACCTTGAGGATTGATCCATTTGGCGGATAAGATTGCATGTTTTACACGATGACATAAGCACGAGGCAACCAGCAGCACGAGTGCCAGCTCGCAACTACGGCTTCATCGTGCAAGCACAGAGCATACACCATACCATTTTCTCTGCTTCAACTGCTGTCCAAATATCACCGCCTTCGTTCAGATTTTCCATTTTTCCTCCGACATGACGTCCCTTCTAAACCATCCTTCGTCTCATGCTGAAGACGTAGGCTATTCGTTCGCTGAACCACAAACAACCGCCGGACCCAAACAACATCACGGCTTCTATCCGTAAGCTTCCCCTTCGGCTCTCTTCGTAATGGAGGTTCCTACCATACTATAACTAAGCTCATAGCCCCAACTAAAAATCCCTTGACTCCAGATATACCGACAACGGTGGTTCAACACTCGGCATCGCAGGAAAAGACTACGCAATCCTAGCAGGCGACACTCGCTCCGTCTCCGGCTACAATATCAATACTCGCTACGCGCCCAAGCTGTTCAAAATTGGCGAAGGAGATGAAGGTGGAGAAGGTGCCCATCTTGTCCTGTCCGTCGTAGGTTTTGCCGCGGACGGTCGCGCTCTGAAAGAACGCCTCGACGCCATCGTGAAAATGTACAAGTACAAGCACGGCAAGCCCATGTCCGTGAACGCTTGTGCGCAACGCCTCGCTACCATCCTCTACTCGAAACGCTTTTTCCCCTACTATGTGCATGCAATCCTAGCTGGTATGGACGAGGACGGCAAGGGTGCGTTGTACAGCTATGATCCCGTTGGCTCTTATGAGAGGGAATATTGCAGGGCAGCCGGTGCAGCGGCGAGCTTGATTATGCCGTTCTTGGATAATCAGGTTAATTTTAAGAATCAATATCTTCCTGGATCTGGGGAAGGGAATGCCATGGATAAACAGCCCCGGCCATCCGAGCCACCGCCAAGGGATGTTGCGTTGCAGCTGGTCAATGATGCGTTTACTAGTGCAGTGGAGAGACACATTGAGGTGGGCGATGGGTTGCAGGTTATGGTGATTACGAGGGAGGGAATACAGGAAATTTACCACCCATTAAAGAAGGATTAGGGAAGGGCTTCTAGACAGTTTTGGTTTTTCCTCTTCTTTTCCTTTTCTCGGCCGGCTTGTTTGTGTGATGTGCGGAGCAAACTCCACTTCGTTATGCCATGATAAGGTAATTGAAATGGAATCATAGACTCTCATTATGTTTTTTGATTTCATTAAATCCAGTTTCCCACAATAACCGCATGAGTGCATAGTTGCAAAAACTACAAATTAAGATCAAGGTAAAGTATAACCCCAAACGCCATTGCTATACCGCTGTAGGTATCATTCCTAGGAGCCGTTTTATTCAAAACCGTTCTTTCATCCGCGCTGCCACAGTCCGTAAGTTTCCATAAACCTTGCCCTACAGTCAATCCAACACATTAGCATACACAAATATATAAATCTTGAAACAATTGTGCATGAAACACACGACATATATAGGCACTTACCGGAGGACTCCCCAAAATCAAACTAACAATTGCCTCCCTTGCAACATGGATATTCCGAAACCCGCCCAGAATATGAATCTTCTGATCCGCAAGCACAACACGAGTCCGGCTCGCATTTTCAATCGCAAACTTCGTCTTGCCATCTTTCCCCGCAATCCGCCCTATAGCACGCCCCAAATGCTCCCCACCAAGCGTCTTCACATCCTTTATCTCAAACGTCTCGATGTACAAATCATCTAGCCGTAGCAGCGCGATGGCGTCGTCGACGTCAAACCCGAGCGTGAACGCTTTTACAAAGTCCTCACCCTTCTGCAGCGCGCCCGCGTCTGTTGTGTGTTTCGATGTGCGCAGCTCGACAGAGCGGTTCTTGATGTTCATGCGTACTTGTAGTTTTAGGTGCTCGACGAGTGGCGGGTAGATTTTGGGCCATGTGGCTTTTAGAGGGGTCATGCGATGCGGGGGAACAGGGACTTTGCGGGTTTCTACACGGTAAGCGCCTTCGGATGAAGCTGCTGGAGTGAAGACGGGACGGCCTTCGAGGTCGATTTGCATTTCCGTGTCTTCTTGGTTTTGTTCGAGGTGGTGTTTAGATTGTGAAGAGGGTTCTGCAGGCGCCACTGCGTTTGTGTCAATTAAAATGTCTTCTTCATCTGTATCTTATTGTTAGCATGTTGCATTCCTGATCGATTGGGCGCTATGAGTGACCTGCGACAGGTGTTCTGTCACAGGACGTACGCTGAGGGGGAATCTGAGACCCTACGGAGGTCTGATTATTGTCAGTGGCGTCCTCTGGGTACCTGATCCGTGCCGTGGGTGCTGGCATTTTCTAAGCACCGTGGCCGTAGTTCGTAAGTTCGGGTGTACGGGGTTTAATGAAAGGAAGAATGAACATAAAATAGCTGTTTGATTCTGACTTAATTATATGTTACTGCTAATTGACGCCGAAGCAAAAGTTCGGAGTGTGGGAAAATGATGATCGGATGCAAACCAGACAAACATCTTCCTCCGATGATTTCATCCTTTTTTTATGGAACGGGATAACGGGATATCAATCATGCCACGCTTTCATCCATCTTACGACGCTTGATGCTCTCCCTATAGCCAGGGAGCGTTCCAGGATGACAAGGAAATTATGTCTGGCCACATAGGACGTCGATTATATGCGAACATATACAAACGAGCGCATCCCCTCCTCTCCCGTGCTGAGCAATCCTCCTCCGCAGCCTGGTCATCGTTTATAACTGGCGCCGCAATTCCATCAAACACTGCCAAGGGTTTGTTCCGGAGAAATTGGTCAAGGACATTTTCATACTCTTCTCCTACAAATGCTAAACAGATCACTAGACGCTTTGCATCTGGCGGCTTTCTAGTCTTGGGCACTTCACCTACTTCTAATGCTGTGGAATCCGGCGCGTCATGCGCTATCACTTCTTCGGAAAAGATAATATGTCAACACGGAAGTACGGGGTATGTGGATAAACACAGGCTGGAGGGTTTGGCGAAAAGCGTTTGGAGAAGAAGTATCTATACCTCGTCAGAGGGCGATGATGATGTGCAAACCTCCGCCGACATTCCTTCTAGAGTATCCAACACCACACAGCGCACGTCGTCCCCACCCGATGAAACTAAGACCTCCAATCAACCATCTGTGAAGCCCATTGAATCCGAATCTAGATCTGCGTCTGAACCTGCACTATCGTCGTTACACTCGAACGGCAAAACTGTGTCAGGAAAGGCGCATACTGGTGGTAGTTCTACGACAACCAGCCATTTCACGGATCGATTGCCCCATCGACCCACGAAGGAAGAATTACTGGCTGCCGCGACTGGGTTTTGGTCAAGGCTCAAAGTGCGTTTCAAGTGGTTCTCTATACGAAGTATCCGGCCCTTCAATGTAGATGATATTGGAGCTTTCTTTTCTTGGATTCTTCTTGGCCATGTACTGTGGATTATTCTTGGGACCACAACTTTTTTCTCTCTCCTGATATTAGCCATTAATACGGTTTTTGCTCAAGGTTTGTTTTGTCCAATTTTCTCTTCAAATCGATTCTTTTAATGTACGTCCTGACTGTTCGAAACAGAAACGCTGGCGAGATGGGTAGGCAACTACCTAACGAAATCCTCAGGACTCACCGTTGTTTTCGAATCAGCAATCGTACCGAAATGGAAGGATGGCGTTATAACGTTCAAAAATGTCTTCGTTTCGAGGCGCCCTGGCCAAGGTGCCGGAAACGTGAGCAAAGGTTCACCTAAAACAGCGGCCGAAACGGCTGCTGCTGCTGCTTTAAGGGATAATCAGTCGGACGTGGAGGAGGAAGATACGAATTATACCCAGTTCGACGTATCGATTAACACGGTCAACGTAACTCTATCATTTGCCAAATGGTTCAATGGCAAAGGCCTCCTGCGAGATGTCGAAGTGATTGGCGTCCGAGGTATCGTCGACAGGACCCATGTGTGGTGGCCCGAGGGTGACCTCGACCCCAAATCATATCGACACGAGCACAACCCAGGTGACTTCGAGATCGATTCATTCAAAATGCAGGATCTACTAGTCACAATTTACCAGCCAAATAATTTCCGACCATTTTCAGTCTCCATTTTCTCCTGTGACCTGCCCCAGCTCCGACGCCAGTGGCTCTTTTACGATTTCATGTCCGCCAATACTATGTCTGGCTCGTTTGACAATTCTATATTTACGATCCACCCCCGGCAAACGCATTCTTATACGGGCGCGCTGTTGGGCGACGATGGAGAGGACCACGGCGAGGCTAGCCCGTGGAAAAAGCACAGTCGAATCCGTATTGATGGACTTAGTATTGATCACCTTAACCGTGGCGTTGAAGGCCCGTTCTCATGGATACATGAAGGTAATGTCGATATCGTAGCCGACATCATGTTCCCGGCCGACAATGATGAGAGCCTTGCGAAGGTCATGTCAGACTTTTACGACCGCCTGGAAGCCGCCGTTACGTCGAATCGCTACCAGACACATCCTAACGGCTCTGCTCCCCATGGTGCAGCTTCTCAGAATGAGGGAAATGGCAAGAGCCATACTCTTCCAGTTTCTCCAGGGAGAGGGGAGGACGACAAACGATTGGTCGTTACTGATCTCCGCATCCATCTTAATAACATACGAGCTGTTGTTCCTCTATTCACTAGGGATCTTTCATACGTCAACAACGCGCTCATTCGACCCATTGTCGCGTACATGAATTCCAAGCGCACGTTTATACCTATCCAGTGTCGACTTGTGAAGCGCGTTAGTGATTTCGATGGTAGTTGGACAATATACGATAGTGGGTTGATGACCGATTTGTCTGCTGAAGTGAGTTTCCTTTTCCCCCTCCTCCCTTTCCCGTTTAGTGTGGAGTTTCAGAATGACTGACACTTTTCCCTCTTCACGCAGACATACGAAGCATTCGCTCAAGGTGTTGTGGATGAACAGGCTCGGAAACGGCGATTTAAGAAAGTGGGGCTTTGGTCTCTGCAACTTGCTGCCCAGGCGATTTTGATGGGCATGGCAGGCAATATTGTATAAATTTTGTAGTCAAGGAACCACCCGACAGCATCCAACAAACGACTTGGCAATTTCTGTACATGTATAACCCAGCACATTTTACGACTGTGAAGTATTTTCTTTTTTCTTTTGTCTTTTCTTTTATTTATATCTTTCTTTCCTTTTTTGGGGGGAGTTCTAGGGAAAGGGAATTCCCTTGCAATCTTTATTTATACTTATATTGCTTGTTTCCTTGTCATCTTTTCGCTTCGGTGTTCATGACTTAAAGTTAACCCGGTATGCACTATTTGATTCCCTATTCATCTGCGGTTGTACGTGCGGCTTGTTACAAGTGCCTGCTCCTTTTATCGTTGTTTTTGATGTTCCATATTATTTATTTCTATGTTTTTCTATTTCCCCCTAACCGCATCCTCCACTCTACAATTCTCTATATCAATATATCCCTAACATCCATCTCCTTCTCTGTTTTGTTTTATTTTATTTTTTTTCGTTTTTCTTTGTGCTGACATCAAAGGGTGGACAAAATAGAAAGGAAAAGAGCCGCGAAGGGACGTATACAGTACATAGCTATTGCGTCAGTAACATATTACTTTTTATTATCAATTACCTCTTCATGCACCTTTTTTGGTGCTGTAACGATGAAAGAAGCCTTGTATGCTCTCCCAGTATGGCAAGGAGAGGTGCTCGAATTTGGCTGCGAAACATGCGCTGATCGCAAATGGTCATCTTAATTGAATATAAGTCGTTAAAGCACACCCCGGAACTGCCAGGTGATACACAGTAGGATGTATATCATCATCATCCCCAGATTATTTGGAGTTCTAGACTGAAGGATTGACAGCAGTTATCCCAGAAACACAGGATCGTATAGTATATAACAACCAAAGGTGGTCCGATTTCAAATTTTTCCAAGAGAGTTCTAAGTACTGTCGTGCATGACTGAGTATGGATACATCAGGGGAGATTTTTCTGAAGTGGAAATGTGCAGCGGGATGCGAGTTACTGCGATATCTTCAAGGCGTGATATCGCGCGGACATCTTCAGATGTAACATGGATATTTCCCCGGTATCCAATGAACTATAAGGCGGGTAGATACTCAACCATTATATGATTCCTCTCCTGACCTACTCGACAGAGGCCCCCGACTCTAGCTTCAGAATTGCTCTGTGGATTCGGGATGACATTCTCGCACTTGTGACAGAGACAAAGCATCCGCCACTCATTATTACTGTATATGTACAGTACATCTATAATAAGATAAAGCAATGCAGAAGCCCCTTCGCAAGCTGAGGCTGTAGCAGCATGTTTTGTCATTCCTTTTTGGGAATTAGTTAGCAATTATTAGGCCCTGGGGCCAAAGAGCTCAATCACCACCAGCACTGTGGTGGTATAGAGGATACGAATCACCCAACCCAACCCAATCCCCCCAACAGCAATTAGGGCTTGATCACCAACCATCCTTAGTCAGCCCGGCCGCCTCTTTCTTCCACCTCTCCCTTTGTGAACAATCTTTAATACTTGTATGCGCCAAAAACAATCGGCGTTGGTCTCTCGTTTGTTTTGAACACGGCCATTTCCATCAGAGCTGGCAAGCTGGTTTTGAATGACTGACTGGTGTTGCATCTCGCTTCGCTGGCAACTTTCTCTTGTGACATTGTTTTCCACATTTTGTAACCACCAGCCACTTCCGGTGCCCTCATCGACTCCATATATATTTGTGGACTCTGTGGTCTCAATGTGAGTGCCCGGAAGTAGTTGAACATGAAAGGTTATACTGAACACATCTATCAGGAGACGGCAATCATAAACATCGACTTTACCGGCAGTGTATCGGGAGATCTTGTGACAGGACATACGTCGACATTGCTCCCTCTGCCTCTGGGTTTCTTGGCTTTTGACATTATCGAGTGCATCCAGATTCAGCCAGCCGACCGCACTGGATCTCAGTGGCTATTTCATCTTTTATCACCAACTATTAAAATCTATTCCATATGAGAACCCTCTCCGGTCTCGCACTGAGTCAGTTTCATTCCGAATATTGGACCATTGTACTCCTCCCAGTGTTCGAAGTCCCAAGTGCATGTACTCAGCTCGCAATAGGTAGCACCAAGCAGTGGTAATTGCTATCATTCGTGCGTTTGTTCTTTAATGTGGAGAATAATCGCATTTCTCGGACTAGGGCTCAACCGGATCCTACTGTTCTCTTCAAACTTTGCAAGATGTCAATGTCCCGCTTCTCTGCTGTTGATCGAATGGAGATGTGTTTTTCCCAAAATCATTTGAAGCTGCATAAGGGATATTTGAAATAATGATCATCCGCTTTAACTGTCTGTTCTAGAACCCTCCTACTGGGTTTCACTTGTGCTCAAAGTGCTCTAATTTGAACATGAGAGATACCGGCAGATCTACTGCTCACAAAGCTGGTCAGCAAATGACCCAATCATATGAAGTTGACAGACACAGCAAGCCTCACCGCCTTTGAGTGATCTATTTGTGCATTAGGAGATGCTTCCCAAGATTCCCAACTCTGAAGTGTTCTAAGAGGACAAGGGGCTGGCTAAACAAAACATTTTGGGCACTATACTTGTGATCGACTATTATTTTCTCCCGAGACTCCAAGACTGTTCACTTGCTAAGCATTAAAGTTTTACTATTGAGAGTCATGTCATACTATACAGCCTTTCTAATGACTGCCAGGGTTGAAAATATTCTCATTGTACCAGGCCATTAACCACTATATTATCCACTTCTGTTGAACGCAAGTGAGAATCTGAACACAATCCTATCCCTGTGTATAACATGAATCAGGCTCAGTTGACATCAGCATTGGACAGTCGTGTTCCTCAGCAACTGTTACAGTAAATATGCGTCCAGATATGGCTGTGTCGTTACGTCTGAGCTTTTTAGGAGCAAGCATTGGCTGCAGCCCACTCTATATAAAGAGTTGCATAATCACCCTACTGGCTCTCTTTTTTCTTCAAGTCATCGCCGGGCTCGATCATCGATCTGATCACCTATCAAGCAAGCAAACCACCCTTTTGTAATTATCTCCTCTCGCCTCTTTCATCTTCAAATAATCATCCGCATATTTTTGATATAGCCAGGCATTCAAGATGGTTTGCATCAGTCAGATGGTTCAGATCGCCATTCTAGGTGCTGGGTATGTAATTCCAATTTCCCGCACATTCCAAGATTCTGACTTCCATCTAGCCTTGCTGCTGCGAATCCCATTCCCGGAGGTGACCACTACCCGGAAAAGGAGATCAAAACCGTCACAGTTACCGAGTATAAAACGGCATACAAACCAGTCACCGAGTTCAAAGAGATCACCAAGTTCGTGACTGTCAACCATCCCGTCACCCAGTGGAAGACCATGACGATAACGGACTATCCCAAGCCTGTAACGATCACCGACTACAAGCCAGTGACTGTTGTCCACACGCAAGCCGTGACTATTACTGCTGTCAAGGAGGTCATCGTTACTAAGACTGCTGTCCATGAAAAGCCGGTCACGCATTTCCAGACCATCACCGTTCCAGGAAAACCCGTGCCTGTGCCGACCACTATCGTCAAAGTGCAAACGGTCACCAGTAAGTGCGAACCAAAGAAACACGACGGTGGAAAGTACCCCGAGGGGAAATATGACGACGGAAAGGGCTACGATGGAAAATACGGTGCCGGGAAGGACGACGGAAAGAATGATGATGGAAAAAATGAAAAAAATGACAATGAGTCCAAGGGGTACGATACCAAGGGTGACTATTAGATGCGGTTCCTAGATGCAAGGTAAAATACGCCCCCTTATCTCGTCAGCAATAGGCTAAACGGTTCAAGAAACTCACAGCTAATTAATCGCCTACTAGATATGTCCTCGGCTTTTGTTAGCCATCGGGAAAAATTCTGAGCGAATAGGTAAAAAGGGGATCAAGGAGCAGTCAAGCAATACATCCTCCATCTTTTGAGAGAACTTTTCAGAAGGCGGAAATGGAATCGATCGTCGGTCTTCAATCACCCTTGACCTTTGTTCCTCATTTCTTTTATTTTCATTTCTCTAATTTCCTTACATTTTGAACAATCGGTCAAAGTTCCATTCTTATTTAGCCTAACTCATGCCTGTCCTTTTTGGACAAATATTTTTCACAAGAAAATGTCGAACGGGAAAGTAATGGAAAATAATCAAATCCCAACCCTAATGATCGCCCCGATTCCCTTTCAAACCCGTCCCTCTTTTTCCTACATAGCCCCAATAAACCCTTTGTATTAATTTTCTCTTCCCTTTTGGCTTGTTCTTTTCTCTTCCTCTTTTCTACGACGAAATTTTCGCTTTACGACATGACATTCACGTCGAAACGTTATTGTTTTCCTGCCACGACCAGATGAGACATGGTGATATTCATACCTGGCTATGTTGGCAACCAGAATGGAGGGGACAAAGGAAAAGGGAAAGGAAGCATGAAATTCCCTGAAGAGGCAAAGATTTTTGCGCAATTTGTTCCTACCTTAGTGAGACAGGTAGAATCTAATGTTCCATTGATATTGATGAGCTTTGATCGGTTTGCTTTAGCTCTAACGAATTCGTGATTTTTTCTTCCTGATCTCCCTTTTAATGCCATCCCCTTATATGTTATTTTTATTCTTTCGCCGGAGATCGAACCTCATCTTAATGTTCGTCTTGGTGGCCCTGTTGATATGTGGCTTATAAAGTGGATATGCAAGAAAGACAGATTGAACAATGCTGGATTCAAGACTAAATTTGAAAATTGATCTGAGCGCTATCAAACGGATGCAGATATCAGTAAATACTATATTAAAATGGCAACGGTCCTTGCGGCCCATTTTATTAATTTATTTGATGTTCCATCTAGGTATATATGTATCCGTTCGCGGCCCTGCTGCCGGCTACTTACCAGGGATAAGATTTAGAGCAGGATACAATAAAGTGCACACAAATTTATCCATACCTTAGAGCTGTGGCATTGCAATTACCCATGTCCCGGCTGCTAATTCCAGATGTGCCTACGCGCAAAATGTGGCATGGAAGTAAGTCATGAAAGTAATAATAGGAAACAAAGGCGAAGGGACATGAAAATTCTACGGTGATAAATAACCAGCGTCAAAAATGTCATTCCGTGATTTTTCTCGAGGCAGTTGTGTCTGGCGGATCTGCCGTATGTCTCCGTATGGTCTCAGGTATCCCCTCTTATTGGTACCTCTGCATGGATTTTGAACGTAGCATTCCATTCCCTTTCCACGTATCCTTGTAGATCTCCGACTGCCGTTTCCACATCAGGAGAATCTTCTAAGACGTAGCCATCGTCGCTTTGTTCCTTTGATGTGACAGCGGAGTTTCCAACCACCATTCTCCTGCGCATCTATGAGTGGTAGCCACATAACCGTTGGCCATAGGATGTAGTTGTAACACGCTGTAATTGGAGAAAGGAAGCTGTTTGTAGATATATTTGAACAGCCAAGGCTTGGCTAATATAGCAAGAAGCTGATGTCTTGGCGGCAGTTGTTCCTTGAGTAGTTGCTGTTGCTGCGGCGTAGGAGTACTAGCCAATGGCCCTATTCTGAATGAGGTCATGGCAGTGGCATGTTTGGTGCAGTTTAGGGTAGAGAAATTGTGTTTAGCTCGAGATCGGAATCGTTGATGCTCACTTCGAATGCGAAAGGGATGTCCCGCCGAACGTCATGAATAAAATCAGCTGCAGTGGGCTGCTCTGAGTGGAAGGGATCCCAGGCTTCGCTTTTCCTAATATCAACAACGGGAAAGCAGTGGATGTGCATCGGTTGGAGAGGAGTCTGCAAGTACACTGGTATCCAAACGGAAGTGCACCGAGCATGCTAGTATGTGATATAAATACTAGTAGCTGCTTGACAGCCGGTATGCCCGCTTCTCCAGATTGAAGAGGTCTTTAATAACGATTTAGATGCTGATATTTTGGAAAATGCAGTCACTGGGGCAGGATCTTTCAGCGAAGTTGGGCTTCCTGCGTTATGAATTGTCAACAGTTGAATGTCATTCTATTCTCTATATCAACGCTTTGAGAATGGTTACAACGGGGCTAGTTTGACCCCTTCTGTTCTCTGGATAGGAATCGTAACGAATTTCATTTCTCATCGCTGACTTCCTAATTTATTTTGTGCCTTGCCGTGTTCAGGGACAGCAATGGCCGAGAACAGTCAACTGTAAAGTTTTATACTCTTTGGTCTCCGAGGAGGATCTCATTCATCGAATTCATAGCCTGCGAGGGTGAGGCAGGTACTAGTACTGTATGGGATGTATCTCCATCTCGATATCAAAGCATCTTGCTCAGCGCAATACCCTATCCGGAACGTGCCTCTCTAGTCGGTAGTCTAAAAATTCGCTGCGGTCAACTCAACCAGTGTCTCCATGTGATGCTTCCTCTGGGTGAATAACAACCGCCCGAGAATCCACAGTGCGGCAAAGTTCAAGAGACAAATATTTATGCCAGGAAAGTTTGTATGGGATTGCCATTACATATTCTCGAAGTAATCCCCACGGCCCTGCGTTCAGGAAATAAATGTGTGTTGTAACCTGAATCCTCAGCAGGTCAATGGTGTTTCGTTCCACAGATATGATGTGATGGACTCGTTGAATGGACTCGTCCTCGGAGTCTCTCGATACCTCAACACTGTCTTTCCCATCGGATACGTTGATTTTTCAACATACTATTGAGGGGTTTGATGTCCAGCAATATGTGAGAACCCAGCTGCTCTCGTTAGCTGGTGCACGAGATTGCAAAGCCTGGAATCTCCACATAACCTTTATGCATCAACTTAAAGATTCAAATGACGAATGTTGGTTGCTGCATGTGTCCCAGAAGATGTTGAGTTGTTGGA